CGCACCGGCAGGCCTTTGTTTGTTCTTTCTTTCCCTCTCTCTTTTCTTCTTTTCTCTCTTCTTCCTCACATATCTTTTCTTTTCTTCTCTCTTTTTCTCTTGCAGATCGACGTTTCTCTTTTGCCGATTTACCGGATGCATGCTGACCATCACAGGTCTAGTATTTATAAACTTGCAGGGACATTTCTGGATCGTTAACATCTCGTATTTTTACTCTTATTTACTAGAGCTTTAATTTCCTTTTCACTTTGCACATGTACGAATTGAAGGTTCGGGCTTGTTTCCTTGTGCGTTGAATGGGTATTGCTGAATAAGGAATGGACGACTGGGCTACACGTATTCCTTTTATTAACGCAGATGTAAATTATGGCTATAATATACTCTATATTTGTTAGTATGGGTGTTCATCTATGTATGTATGTGTGATTATTATTATTATTCGGATGTATGATGTGAAGGGAAAACAAATGCACATGGAGGCATGTACGTACGTACATGGGCTATGTCGATGTGAATGGTTGGTAGGTATGTGTATGTGAGATACATTTATCTCATCCTTTATTATTCCTAGGCATCACTTATATTATTGGTACATCAAGCATATTATTTTAATATACAGTATGCATTATTATTAGACTTTAAAAATCAACTCTTTCTACATTGTTGTTTTCGTATGGTATTTATAGTATATTTGTACTCATTTTATTTACTCATGTCTTCAAATTAAAATATCACTTTTATTATTTAAACATTTTTTTTTATGATTTAAAAATGTCACAGATGTTAAAATTTTATCTGATTCACTTAATTATTAAACTGTCACTTTCGTAACATTTTATCTGACTAATAAATTCATTTATTTTATTTCAAATTTTCGGAGTGTCACAGTAGCATCATCCTAACCCGCGCTGGCTGATGTGGCATTGGTAGAAGTGGGGGAACAAGGGGCATCTTCCCGAGCAACTGTCCCTACAATGGGTGGAGAGCCAGAACGGCCAGATACACTGGTGTCCCCGGAGGAGTGAGAACCGGACTCAGAGCCAGAAGAGGAGCTGAAGCCGGAAGAAGAGCCCGAACTAGAACTCGACGAAATCTCCATTAAAGTCATTACAGGACCAGAAGAGGTTACAAAAAGGGAAAATAAAACTAAAATTACCTCGGGAACAGCAGAAACGAGTTAAGGACCTTGTCAACTAACGAGCTAATTGCAGAACGGCGGAGATTCTAGAGCGAGAAGAAAATCGGAAACCCTAAGCATCTGGGAAATTATGGTAATAAGGGAAACGCCGTCCCGTAAAACCAATAAGGAGGTGACGCGTGGCGAGGAGCGTACCCTGGGTTGCGTGTCGCGCGTGGAGTAACGGGCGTAATGATGACCCTTCCTCGGGAAACGCACCGTTTCTGCGGCAGCCGTCACCTCGATTCCTGAACCGTCGCCAACCAAGTAGCACCACGGTTAGATACGTCCACCTCCAAAACCTCGGCGAGTGTAGCCTCGCGTCAGGAACGTCTCACCCAAAAAACGGTTATACTTCCTTATGTCCCATGCACGTTTGGAACATCAGAAGTGGGGGGCTTGTGTTGGGTTAATGGCCCAAATAGAGGATCACCCCATTTACCCCCTCATTCAGACGAACGTCCCGTCCAACAAGGCAACCCACCCCGACGGGCGTCCAGCCAGGGCAACGGTAGACCACGCCGACATACAAAGGCCACGGAGACGAACGTCTCCACCAAAGGCCCATAACTGCACGATGGCTAATCCAATCTATATGGTGAATTCTCCCAAGGGCCAGGATACGGACGGCCCATAACCCTTGCGAGGGTCATCAGGAGCAGGCCCCAAGCCAGAGGGACGTTCGTCCCCACGAATTAGGCGGGAAACCCAGATTCTGGCGGGAAGCGCATTTAATGCTGAAGATTTGGTGGTTGGAACATCAGCCATCCATAACTCTCCACATCAGCATGGCCAACTGCCCATTGGTGCTATTTTTTTTTCTACCCCGGAAGGTCAACCACCAAAATCAGTGGGGTAAATGTCGGGGGACATTTACCGAGTTTTATTAAACTATATGAAAGATTCAAACAAAAGAGGGGGGGGACTATGCCAAAACCCCTCTAAGAAACAGAGGCAAAGAAATTGGGGGGACCAAACCTTACCCAATAAATCAACGAAAATCAATAAATTCTAAAATAACTTAAACCAAGCTTATCAGTAATAATCGTTCGACGAATATGACCTGGCAGCTGTCGGAAATTGTCAAAAATAACCATATTATCCAAATTAAGTTTAGAAATAGAATGAGCAGTCCAATTACTATCTCGTAGAATATGTCTGAAGTTGATATCCGAACCAACCATCCATCTTCTAAGGTCCGAAACCATCAACTTCCATCTTCCATCCAGACCTCCTCCCAAAATTTCTTCCACTACCATCCTTGAATCCGATTCAACCTCCAGATTATGGTAGCCATTTGTAATCGCCCAATGAACAGAATAGTGCACCGCTTGAAATTCCGCCTCCATTGCAGAGCTTGCAGGAACCGGGAAGTGGAGAGCCACCGCGAGCTCACCGAGCCTAGAACGTATCACCGCTCCACCAGCTGCCCGACCAGGTCTGAAAAAGGCATCGACGTTCAATTTGAAGTCCATCTGAGGTAATCTCCATTTCAAAGCTCAAAGCTGCAGTTTCTTAGTTTTAAAAGATGTAGCCAGAAGTCTTTCTTTAAAAAGAAAAGAACTAGGCTTTCCAATTTTAACATTAGTGAGCTGAATATCAGACCAGACCTGCACGAAAGCTTTAATCTGGCCAATAATAGTCTGCCAATTCGGGATATCATTCGCCCCTCCCCAGGTAATCCGACAATAATTTTTCCAGATGTGCCAAGAAATAATGCCTGCCATATTGTGCTTGAAAATATCAGTTAAGTTCTTATTCCCTGCTTCAAGCCACCAGGCAATGAACATCTGCCTAATTGGAGTATATCTGGTAGTACAAGGGATTTCAAGCCTTAGGCAAGGTATCCACAGCCAATATATGCAAAGGGATGGTGTTAAGAACATGTTTAATAAGCACTAGTCTCCCTCCAAAGCTTAAATTTTCTGCTTCCATGTTGACAACTTTTTATCAAAGCTTTGATGAATACCATTACAGTAATTTTTCCTATTGATTCCTTTATGCAGGGAAGCTCCTAGATACTTCATGGGAAAACTGAGTTTAGTCATGCCCAAGAGCCTCTCCAAGTTCCTGATTCGAGCCAGGGAAGTTTTACCACATCCAAAACTGCTTTTATCAAAATTAATGGCCTGACCTGAAGCCTTTTGGTAGAGACCCAAAAAACTCTTAACATTCTGAATAGATCTAGCTTCCCCATTAAGAAAGACAAGGATATCATCAGCAAAGCAAAGATGAGTAACTGATTGTCCCACAGGACCAATCCAGTAGGGTTTCATTTTATTTTCAGCAACCATGCATTTTAAGCCTCTAGATAGAGCTTCAGTAGCAAGAATGAAGAGGAAAGGAGAGAGGGGATCTCCCTGCTTTACTCCTCTATGGGGTTGAAAAAAGCCTTTAGGTGAACCATTTATGAGAACTGAAAAATGAGTAGCCCTTAAATGATTCAATATTAAATTGATAAAACAATTAGAAAATCCAAACTTAGACAACACTGCTTCTAAGAAAGTCCAGGCCAGTCTATCAAAAGCTTTTGCCATGTCCAATTTAACCACAACATTGGTACCCCTGACCTTTCTGTCAATGGAATTGATCATTTCCTGAGCAACCAGAATATGATCAGAAATATCCCTTCCCTTCATAAAGCCTGCTTGCTCATCTGAAATTAGTTTAGGCAGAATATTGATAAGCCTGGAAGCTAATACTTTTGTACATACCTTACTCACAAAGTTGGAAAGACTGATAGGTCTAAATTCTGAAAAGGTAGATATCTTGTCTTTCTTTGGAATAAGGACTATGAGGGAACTGGCCGTAGCTGTAGGAATAACATTTCCTTGAAAAAAATCTTGAACCGCTCTGACAACATCTTGACCCACAATATCCCAACAATGTCTAAAGAAGACTCCATTATAACCATCAGGGCCAGGTGCACTGTTTTTATCCATATCCCAAACTGCATTCTTAACTTCTTCTGCAACAGGGAGAAGCATAAGCCTTTCATTATCAATATTATCCACTAACTCTGGGATATATTGCAGCATTTATTTCATTGTAAAGGGTTGACAACTTACTATTCTTAGCACTCTAGCTTATTACCTTATTACTCACAGATCTTCTACTGCAGGGTAAGACGAACGGCATTCGACCTTAGCAAGTGTAATCGTACCGGGGCGTTATTCATCATTAATAATATCCGGTCCTTTACTCATTCATTGTTCCCTTAACCCATCTTACTTGTTGCTGGACTAGTTAATCACCCACTCTTAAACAATCCACTCGAAATCCTTGGGCTTATGTGTTGGACCGAGGGTTGAAGGAATAAACCTCAACAATATCTTTCTCTCGCTATACAAGAGTGACAAAAACTATCTTGATAATTCACATACCACTACATGGTTCATAATATGTACAATCACCACCTTTATAATTATCTATTTAAAGATAGTATTTAATGATGTTAATACATATTAATTCCCATGCAAGTAACCATGATTATCTCAAATATAAGAATATAGCACCTCATCATTATTAAGGACAACACTGATGACATATAACCTAGCAGTGTCCTCAAGTTGGGTTTGTCCAATGAACTTTTTCCCTAACAAGCATCTATGTTATTAACTTGATATCTCTATACCCATGAGTAGTGAAATATAGTCATCAGTTAATCCACATTCAGGTCTATTAATTATTAATGTCCCAAATTAATAATATTAGACCAGGGACAATTAGAATATTATGCTTATTTTAAAGTGTAGCATTCCACAATTAAGTCACATACTTAATTAGCTACTAAACATAATATTCAGGGACTAAATATTAATAAAGAAAACTCACAATAATAATTAACATAAAATGAGTTTGTGACTTTATTAATTAATGAGCATTAAATATTTATTTATAAATCATAAACTATGATTGTCCTAGGGCATATTTCCAACAGTTTGTTTATGGATGTGCTATGTGTGAATGGTATTCAAGACGCCTAGTATAGTATGGATGAGTTGGACTGCGGTTGACTATTCGTATTGTACGGCGGGTTGTTGACGTGTCCGGTAGATCCAAACAGTTAAGTTACCAAACATCTTTCTGTAACTCGCCAAACTAATCTGCCGGTCAAACCTGTTAACTCAATTCACTTTTTAGAATCCGTTAACTCAATCCGATTCATCAATTAATTGATTAAAAGAGAGAGTATATACTGCGTAGTATATTAGTAGGAATAAGGAAAAACGTTGTTTCCTGATACAGAAAAGTTGTTTGTACCCAGGTCACCTTTATATCCATCATGTTTGTGCAAAGTTTTTTTTTTACTGTGAATCCCGTTCACAGATAAAATATGTCTGTGCAAATTACTTTGTCTGTGAATCGGATTCACAGACAAAAGAAAAACCTTGACAAACATGGTGGGTATAAGAGTTTGTACAACAAGAATATACCTACTAGTATAAATAAAGTAAAATAAAGAAAGCTTGTGAAGTGCTGGACAGCAAACATAATCACACCAATTCAACCATTACCTTCACCTTTCCCATTTCATTACATTCACCTTTCCCATTTCAAATTTCAGGTCCAAAGTCTCCACAGAATTATCTCCTTTAATTTCTTCTTCCCAAACAAATACCTTATCACGCCGAATTCGTTTCATCGATCTCCATCTAGCTGTTCCTGTGTATCGATCATTTACAAGTATGATCGAGTGCACTGTAGTGTTTATGGTTTAAAGAAAAATCATTTTTGAATATGCGTACATAACACACAAATATAAACACACACACACAATGCTTACATGCATTCCTCGTTCAAAGCAATCCACTGCGGATTCGGAAAAATCAAATCCAAATGCCGCACCACAAAGCAAACAATCCGTTAAGAATCTTACTTCTCAGGTGAAAATCTAGCCCTATACATATGGTTAAGTTCTGGGCGTAAGTTTCAGGATCGAGACCGGCCCCCTTCCACGCTATGTCGATATCGTCTAACAGCGTAATAATAATGATCGAACTATTAGCTAGCTAGGTGGTCAATTTTTGTTTTGTTATGTAGATAAAGGATATGGCTCTCAAGGCGTCAGGGGCGTATAAGAACTGTAATTCGTGTACAAGTCAGCCGACTTTGAGTCAGAACGCGAGCGGGAATGGTGCGGCGGACCTGGCCGCGCCGGACAAGTTCCGGTGGTCGTACCGGCGGACGGGAAGCTTCAGCTCTAACTCAACGTCGGGAAGAAAGGAATTGGAGGCCAGGCTGAAGGGCATATCGAGCGGAGAGGTGACGCCGACGTCTATATCGGCGTCGGCAAGTGGCCGGCGAGCTGACCCTGTGGTGCTCGTGGAGGAGAAGGAGCCCAAGGAGTGGGTGGCGCAGGTGGAACCCGGCGTTTTAATCACCTTCGTTTCCCTGCCACGTGGCGGCAATGATCTCAAGAGGATACGTTTCAGGTATTTTCACCATACAAAAATGGTGCACTCAAATTATTTAAATTTGAATTAAACATGATATAATTAATAATTTGAAATGGGTATGTATCATTTTTGAAAGGTTTAAATATGGTTTTAGTCCCTGCCAATATGAAACACTTTGTTTTAGGTCCTTGCAAAATATTTTCTTTGTTTTTCATTCAAGTAATATGCACTATTTTAGTTTTAGTCTATCTCTAACTCCGAAACAACTCGACTATGAATTTTTTCTATTCTTGGTTACATAAATCTACTAGAAACATTTAAATTTATCAGTTTATAATTTTTTGATGCTAATAAGAGAGTTATAACAATATTAAAACTAATTATTCGCATTTTTAAAATACTACCTCTGTCCCGTTAGACTTTATCAAGTGCAAAGTATGTGAGAAATAAGAATAGTAAAAACTGTGTGGTTGAGATTTGTGCAGAGGAGAGAGAAATGTGCAGAACCACAAATTAGTTGCTTTAATGAGAAAGTGACAAAGTTTTTTAGGACAATCAAAAAAGGAAAGTTTGCAAAGTCCAATGGGACGGAGGGAGTATGTATTAAAAACCCTCAAAAAATTGAAATTAAATTCTTTTTGAATGACATGACAAAGAATTAAAGGATACCTTTTAGTCGGGATTGTTTCGTTGTCAAGCGGAGGTTGTTATCATTAGTCATGGATTAAAAAGAAAATCAACATAAATTTCAAGGATGCAAATATTTTGCTAGGACCTAAAACAAAGTGTACTATATTTGTGGGGACTAAAAGCATATTTAAAGTTTTTTTGAAATGTATACCATAGTTTTCACCAACAAGAATATGATTAGTTAGTATATGTGAATAACTAGAAAACAATCCCTATAGCATATTTAAAATTTACAGTCACGAGCAGACAATGAGTGAAGTAGTCACAGAATCCTTTTTTGAGGAGAAATATTCATGGATAAAGGTCTCATAGGAGTCATAGCCCCTACCATTCAAAACATAACAAAAAATCCTTTATAAATGTCATGTCACCACCGTGATTAGTTTTGTGAAAATAATCCATAGCCCATACCATTCAAAACATAACAAAAAATCCATAGCCTATCGTAATATAGACATACAACCCGCCGGTAATTTTATCATTGTATTTATTTGAAATGAATTTTTTTGAAATTGTCTATGAAACTGAAATAAGTCCAAGTAAGAAAATCATTATTGTCAGGTCATTAAATTATTGACTATAAGAATTAAAATTAAGGCTAAAACAATACATCGTAAAAAGGTATAACCAGACAATTTTTCAAAAAAATACTGTCGTAAGAGTAGATTAGGTTATAGCTTTGTTATAGTCTCCTCGGCTTAATTATTGGCTTTGTTATTTTACAATTGATCTTTGTAATACTTCGTATTTGTCACGGTGAGTTCTTTTTATTCTTTGATTCCCTTTTTAAATGTTTATTATAATTTGATTTCGTGATACCTGTTTATTATCTTCGATTTTGGCATTTGATAGTTCGATAGAATTTGTGGTTATATTTGTAATATTATATTATTGATTTATATGTCAGAATGTTTTTAATTGGACTAATTCCATCTCAGATCATATCAGACCATACTAGACTAGATCAATCAGATTTTGAGAGTAAAAATACAGAAATACATATATCCACTCGACGGATCAGAATAGTATAGATCAAGTCATATCATATATACTGGATTTAAATAGGCTAGACTAAACTTAAGCAAACGAGTTCAAACTTAAATATAACAGACCATTATAAATCAGATCATACTATAGTTAACTTAAATTGATGTGACCATACCAGCTGGATGTAAACATATCAAACTGGATTAAAAATACAATTTAATTAAAAACATTCCTAAGGAAAAAGTGTCGACTCTTACTTTAGTTATGAAAAATAAATTGAATATATGCAACAACGACAAAATTGGATGTGATGTACAAAGTACTACTCAAAATGGATAATAATACAAGGATTACAAGCAGTAAATAGTGAATACTTCATTTTAGAATAAAAAGAAAATTAAAAAGTATATTCCCTAAGCAATCCTTCATTGTATCCGTGTCCTGTCGTTATTCAATTCAAATTGTGACTTGCCACATTAAAATAGCAATCCTATTCCAACTTGTGGTCAACCCAACATTAAAAGACTAAATGATCGCTTTGTCGTGCATACTCCATACACAAAGTAATCATGGTGATCATTACCAAAAAAAATGCGTGATGATAAAAGTAAATTACGAGCCCGTTTGGTAGCACCAAAATCGGCTGTTTTGGCTGATTCTGCTGAAATTTATGATATTCTGGCTGGAGTGGCTGTTTTGGCTGATTCTGCTGATTTAAGAAAAAAATATTTTAAAAATATATTTTATTAATAAATTAAAGAAAAAATTATATGTAAAAATAGCTAAAATGGTCCTCTACAGTAACTTCAGCCAATACAGCCAGAAAAGTAACTCCAACCTTACTTTTTCGGCTTATTACACAATTCAGCGCGCGAAAGTAAAAGTTACGTGTTTGGTGAAAAAGCTGGCTGATAAGCCTGATAAGCCGAAAACAGAGTTCTCCAAACGGGCTCTACATATTCGCCGCTGCACCCAAATCAGCCATTTGCCTGTCTGCAAAAGTTTTTTTGGATCCGGAGCCTCTACCTTACTTTAGAGTAAGGTAGAGTGCCTTGCTTCCTCCCGATCATCCGATTGACAATTCAACGGTCAGAGATCTTGGGCTCCACTTTTTTGCCAATCTCGAGGCTGTATTGGCAGCTCCCCTTCCGTCCGATGCGCAAGACACCCTCCTAGTCGGGTAGAGGATCTCAATCCGTTTTTTTATCATGTCCGAGCGTGACTATTGCGTAGGGGTGGGCAAATCGTTTTAAGTTTCGATTTTCTAAGGTTTTGGTTCGGTTTCGATTTATTCGGATTGAGAGAATTTGTATCAAACTAAAACCATTTATGTTTCGGTTTGATTTTGGTTCGGTTTCGGTTCTTTGAATTTCGGTTTACCATAGTAAAAATTATTAGGTTTAATTTAGTTCGATTTGATTCGTTTTCTTATGTTTATTATGATTTTATTTGATCAAGTTCTTATATTTTAGAATTAGAAAATGAAAGTAAAATGTAAAAGGAAATAAACAATAGAAAAATAAACAATAAAAAATTATAAATTAAAACTTTTAACATCATTTTGACCACTAGAAAAAGATTCACTTCTCACAAAAAATAAGATTATAGTTTATTAACATTTATAATACGAAGTATCACATAAAATATTCAAAAAAAACTAAAGGAGTCGGTGGTACAAATAATGTTGTAACATTCACAATTTTATTCAAACAAATCATGCAAAATATATAAATGCAATCTGCTATTGTTATCGTCAAACTTAACAAATACAAATATGTCATATTATTAGCTAACTTTGTAATAATGAATGTATGAAATGTGTAAAAGTTAAAATGATACATGTTGAATATGTATTTTTCATGTCTAAATTAGTTATATATATATATATATATATATATATATCTTAAAATGAAGAGTGAAAATAAATATAAAGTGGGTGTGTTTGTATGTGTGTGTGTATGTATTTTTCACTTTTGCATGTTTCGCTTGCACTTTTGCTTATTTCTGTTGCACTTTTGCACCATTTCGATTTTGGTCAAATTTGGACAAAATGACAGTGGTAGTTTTGTAAATAACCCAATTGTTTTCGCTACCACGAAAAAGTGCAACGAAAACAAGAAAACGTGCAAGCGAAACATGAAAAAGTGCAAATTTCGCACTTTGCACGGGAAGACCACTTATATATATATATAATCTTGGCCATTGATGTGAAAAAATGGATGGAAGAGATCAAATTTTAAGTGAAAAACGCGGTGACATTTTGGTAATTATGAAGAACTTTTATTGAAAATATTGTGACAAATGTGTATCAGAATAGTCAAAAAGTGCAAACGTAGAGCACAAAAGTGCAATACAGTACAAAATAAAGTATATAGGGGTGAGTTCTAATACAAAGAAGTCTTCCCATGAAAAGTGAGAAGTGATCTAAGCCCTTGATTATTTAAACACAAGAGACGGTTTTAAAAAATGTGCAAATATTTATACTATAAAGTGGATAGTTACTGATTAAAAGTGCACTCATGCGTGTTAAAAAAGTTTGTCAAAATTTTCTAACTTCTGCACTTTTTATTTTGTACTGTATTGCACTTTTGTGCTCTACGTTTGCACTTTTTGACTATTCTGATACACATTTGTCACAATATTTTCAATAAAAGTTCTTCATAATTACCAAAATGTCACCGCGTTTTTCACTTAAAATTTGATCTCTTCCATCCATTTTTTCACATCAATGGCCAAGATTAGTTCTTATTTTTCACCTAGGAAGCACTTTTTATTTGATCCATACTATATATATATATATATATATATATATATATATATATATACAGGATTATTCCTGTCCGGAAATTCCGGACAGGAACCCCGACCGGCCTCCTCCATTTAGGGGCCTTCACGGTGGTATTTTTTGCCCAAATTTTTTATGTATGTTCCTCATCAAGTCTAGTTCATCCATTCCAAATTTCATCAAAAAAATTCAACCGGGAAGGTCGTCAAATGATTTTTGCAAGTTAACTGGTCCGAAATATGTATTTTCCGGACCAGTTAACTTGCAAAAATGATTTGACGACCTTCCCGATTGAATTTTTTGCTCAAATTTGGTATGGATGAACTAGACTTGATGAGGAACATACACAAAAAAAATTGAGCAAAACATACCACCGGGAAGGCCCCCAAATGGAGGAGGCCGGACGGGGCTCCTGTCCGGAATTTCCGGACAGGAATAGCACTCTATCTATCTATCTATCTGTCTATCTATCTATATATAGATAGAGAGAGAGAGAGAGAGAGAGAGAGAGAGAGAGAGAGAGAGAGAGAGAGAGAGAGAGAGAGAGAGAGAGAGAGAGAGAGAGAGAGAGAGA